TGCCTACGGCAGCGAGCTGTTTGAACTCGCTGGCCAGCCTGGCGGGCCAAGTCTTCGACCTGATGACAAACAGGTTGGAACTGCCGATCGCCCTTAAGAAGATGCAGTTTACCACCAACTCTAGAGAGGTGGCCGAGCTGGCGCCGACCTCCTTAAGCGCCTACGGCCACACGGTTGCTGGCCACGTGGTCAACCTCGGAGTCGATTTCACGGTCGGCAAGAACCGATCCGCCAAGGATGCCAGGTCTAAGAACAAGTCCCGTTGGAAGAAGGGCCTGCGAAGGCTCCCGCTCATCAAAAGGCTGCGGGGTCCCACGGTCCAAAAAGGAAAGATTTTTGTCTGTGGGATCAAGCCCAGCTTGACTTATGGGGAGGAGATTCAGGGACATTCTCCGACGGAACTTCGTGCCCTTCGCCTCCAGATGGCCAAGAGTGTAGGCCTTTGGGGACCAGGGGCCAACCTTGATTTGTGCTGGTGCTTGGCACCCAGCAAAGATCCGATTTTGCACGCTGGAGCCACGCTCCGCAGGTACTGTGCTGAATGGTGGTCGGCTACGGATGCCCTTCTCTGTGCCAAAGATAACCTCAGGGCGCGAGAGCTCAGGGAAGCGTTCCAACTGACTCAGGACCATTTCGCTCGTCACCCCCACCCTGGGATCTGGCACTTGGTCACTCAGAGCCCCTTGTCGGACATGGTCTTTTGGTGCAATAAGGCTGGTTGGGTCTTCGAGGACCCCGCCCACGTTAGGACCACTGAAGGGATCGTGTGTAATCTTACCCTGGTCCCACCAGCCCAAGTGTTCGCCCTTTTTGGCAAGGATCTTCAGAAGCAAGGTCTCCACAGGACTGTTTGCGAGAAGCTGCAGGACGTCCAGTCCGACCGAGCAGCTCAGATCAGGGAGCGTGGGCTGTGGACTCACCCCGTCTCGCGCGCTTGGGGCTCGAAGAAACACTCTCCTTTTGCCAAGCAGATGTTGCGTCAGGTAGTTGCAGGGTGCTATTGCACTGGCACCCTCCTCCACCGCCGTGGCTACCAGGTTTCCCATAAGTGCCAACACTGTGGAGCCCCTGACACTGCCTTTCATCGGGTTTGGGTTTGTCCTTTTGGGGACCCTCTTCGCCACGAGCTGGACGAGAGCCTGGTCAAAGCCGCCCTGGATGCGGGGCCGTCGGATCCGCTGTTCAGTTGCCTGTGGCTTCCCGTCCCTGTCATTGAAAACCCACCGCCCTCCACGGAGATTGTTGAATATCTCGACAAAGGAGGGAAGATTGACCAGTTTGTTTGGGATACCCCTGGGGTTGAGGTGTCTATCGACGGGTCGGTCGTTCATCCCACCACTCCCCTCCTCAGCAGAGGGGGTTGGTGTATTGCTGAAGTAAATTCTAGTGGTGACCTCCTTAGGGCTGTAAGAGGTGTTCTCCCGTCCTACGCCCCCTGCAATGCCAACATGTCAGAGCACCATGGGCTCCTCCAAGGGTGTGCCCATTTTCACGTCGAGCGTGAAGATGAGCCCGTGCATGTTTTTCAAGATTGTGCTGCTGTTGTTCATGGTGCAGCCTCTGCATTGCGATCCCGTGATGGTCGTAGGCAGCAGGCTGGACACTGGAGGCAGATAAATCTCAACACGGACATGCAGGGCTGGACCATCCATAAGATCAAAGCCCACCAGTCTCTGCTTCGTGGAGATAGGAGCTTGGATGAGCACAGGAGGATTTTGGGGAACGCCTGGGCTGACACTCTCGCTAAGGAAATTGCCACAAATCAGTTAAACCCCTCTGATATTGTAAGAGTTGAAGACAATTATAAGCTATGGCTGGATGTTTTTCAGGCTTTTGTGACCTTGTTGGAGCCCTGGGGCAGAGCCCGCGATGTTTTTGGGGATTTGGCCAGGGTCCCCAGGGCCCCGAAAAATTCGTCCAGGGTGCCTAGCCGTCACAGTTTCAGGTGGACCTTGAACAGATGGCAGTGCATAGATTGTGGGCGTTCGACCACAAAGCCTTGGGCATGCCGCCGAGGCCCCTGCACGCCTCTGCCGTCGTCTCTTCAGTGTGTGCTCACCCCTTCTGAGCCCATTGTGCCAGCACATGAGTTGTGGGCTGGCCGTATTGAGACGACAGGGGCCGCCGTATTATATTGTAACCGTTGTGGGTCTTACACCACTGGTCGTGCTGCGCATCTCCTTGCCCCGTGTACGACCCACAAGGTGTTGCAGTTGCGCATGCTACGCGACTGCAAGCTTCCATTTCCTAAGGGGGTGCGGTTTTCCAAGCCGTGGAAGGTCAAAGCGGGGCTTACTGCCCTCCACCTGCACTACGGCCCTTAATTCCGCCTTACCCCTGCACCCCCTCGTGTCGCTCCCAGAGCGGGCGAGGTCTGGTGCTTCCACACCCCCACTGTGGGGTAGCGGTCTCCCGTTCTTTGAATGGATTCCGTTTCTGTAGGCCTTGTATGTATGTAGGAGGAGGAGGAGGAGGAGGAGGAGGAGGAGGAGGAGGAGGAGGAGGAGGAGGAGGAGGAAAACGAGGAGGAGGAGGAGGAGGAGGAGGAGGACCCCCGCACCACCAAAGGGGCACCCCCGCACCCCCGACGAGGCCCCCCCCCCCCCATGCACCGCCTGCGGGGCACCCCGAGAGCCGCCACGCGCTCGGGGGCGGGGCGGTCAAACGGCTCCACGGCCTCCGGCTGCGGCGGCATCGCTGAAGGGGCCCTGGGACGCACAATTAAATACACACAAATAAAAAGATTCCCCATACTTTCCCATATTTTCAGGGTTTTTGTCTTCCCCCCCACTTCCCATATTTTCCCATCTTTTCCTGGGAGTCGACGATTAATTGTGTCTGTGTGTTTTTTTCTCTCCTGAATCGCTCCTGCCGCGCGCTCACGCAGCGTCGCCTCGCCCGCACGCGCGACGCGAGCACGAGACCGAAACCGACTTCCTGGTGGGAGGCCGTTTTCCCGCCAGTGGCGGGAGGCTCTCCGGTTGCTCCCCCCCTGGGCTGTTCGCCCCTGTCGTCGCCTCCAAGACCGACCCTGGGCGGGCACCGCGCCCCCCTGCGCGCCACGGGCTCTCCCCACCATCCTGCCTATAGACTGCCGCTGGCGCCACTCGCTTGCTCTGGTCATCGTTGCAATGGCACTGCGCTGCAAAAGCACAGCATTTCGTTGCCATCGCTTTGCGTTGCGTTGCACTGCATTCCATTGCGTTGTCTAGCACCACGCAGATCACATAGCATAGCTTGCACCATGTGGACTATTGCACCACATCGCTTGCACCACGTAGCTTACGCCACGTCGACTGCACCACGTATATTGCAACACATATACTGCATCCCACAGTTGTGCCACATGGGCTGCACCACTTGGCATGATGTTGGGTGTAGGTTGGCAATGTGTGTGTGGTGGCGGTGGTGGAGGACGCGGGGGGAGGAGAAGAGGATGGGAAAAGTGGGAGGCGTGTCTGTGTGTGCATGTGTGCGTGAGTGGAAGGGGTAAAGAGGATGGTTGTGTGGCATAGAGTGCACGGGGCTAAGGAGCGCAATGAAGTGGCGTGGCGTGGGGCGGGGTGATGTGAAGTGAGAGATGGGGATTCACGTGGTTTCTCTCTCTCTCTGCCTGTGTGTGTGTGCGTGCGTGCGTGCGTGCGTGCGTGCGCGCGTGTGTGTGTGTGTGTGTGTGTGTGTGGTGGAGTTGAGGCGACGGGAGGGCTGGTGGTGGTACGTGAATCGAGTAATGTGCGTGTGCGCGTGGAAATGGCAAGATGACAGGTAAGACGGATTATGGAAGGGAATGGGGACTGGAGGGAGAGAGCAGGAAAAGAGCGGAGGGGAGGGGTGGGAGAGGAGAAGAGGGGAAGGCTAATGGGTCACGTTTAGAAAACCCCGGATCGGCGGCACTGGCCGAAGGCCATTACGATCTCTCATGTTGCGGTGCGAAGCGAGTTCTGGACAACGGTCTAAAGAGTTTGATCGGCGGGTAGACCCTTCATGGCTTTTGCTCAAACTTTGTGGTGGCCGTTTCCCAGTGGCGGAAGCGTAAGGCTGTACCACCCAGGCTTCGGTTCACGTTTTGATATCTTTTGTTGACGTTTGAAACATCCTCCTCCTCCTCCTGCTCCTGCCCTTCATCGTCCTTCCGCTTCATTCCTCACTCCATCCCTCCTCCCGCTTCCGTCCTTCCTCCTTGGAACTCCCTCTCCTCTCTCTTTCTCATTCTTCCTCCAGCCTCCTTTTGTCCTCCTCCTCCTTCTTCTCCCTTCTTCCTCCTCATCATCCCTGCCTGTCCTCCTTCTCTGTCCTCCCTCCTCCTTGCTTTCACCTCCTTCTCCTTCATGCTCTCCCCTGTGCGCTGGAAGCCAACAGGGGCAACGTCAAAGGGCCCTTCTCGTTGCACCAGCATTGCAGACGTGCTGCAGCGGATTTCTGCGTGGGTTTTTGCCCGAAGCGGCAAGCGAAAAACGAAGTGAATTTCGCGTGGATTCTTTTTGATTTTCATTCCTGGCCAATGACATCCGCACGAAATTCACCTCGAAATCCGGAACGAAATTATCCAAAACACTCCAGGCCCACCCTATCGTTTTCCGATCGAAAACCGCTCTGCGATGTTGGCGCCATGACCCTTCCTCCGCAACTTGAACCGACATAGTGAGGTCGGTCGCAGAGCCGGCAACCCTTCGACACAGGCCTCGAAGACAAGTCACATACTGAAGTGAAGACCCTGAACGACCACTGTTCCCAAGCGCTGCTCATTCGAAAATGAGTTGCCACTCGAGCTATTGAAACTCTTCGGGCGTGATTTCGAGCTTTGGTTCTTAATACGCGTGCCTAGCATTTGATAAAGCGAATTCCTCTTTCGGCGGCGTTCGTCTGGAGACAAAAAACGCCTTGGCACCCTTCGCCGATGTTATGGGGGAGGCAACGTGTCCACGTGTTGTCATTCCCGAAGACACGCATCAAGACACGAACCTTCTGTACCATTCATCCCGCGATGTTAACGGACATTTTCAGAGACCGCGAGCGTGCGCTGGGGCACCAGCGCAACCAGCTTTGGGAGCGGCGCGGATCTGACTTGGCATGAAAGGCATTGCTTGCCTCAGCTCCAAGGACGTGCCAAGCAACCCAGTGGCGGGTCTTGGCCAAAGAGAGGCGGAACGCTGGTTGAATACTATACTCGCCAAGTTGATAGAGATGCTTCGCTCATCGTTCACGATGGCCGCTAGCTCCTGTGGGCAATGCAGACTGCCCCCCCCCCAAGTTGGGACATGTAGGCACGATCGGCACCATAATGAGTCTGGAAGTGCACCATCGTACCGATCCTGTCTCGCCATGGGCCCGAGCTGCGACGCCAAAGTAGTGCAGCAGTCTAAGCAACTTTGCAGGTCCTGCTCTGCTGAGGCTTCACAAAGAATTCCGCCCCTGCGGTTCTGGCAAATGGTGGCGTGTGGTCGTGTCCGTGATAGTCCTCCATAATGTAATGCGTCCCAGCTGGGAACCCAAGCGGTAGGCTTTTATTTTCTCAGTATGAATTCTATGTGTTGCAATGTGTGTCTGGTGCAGCTGCGTCGTGAAATCTACTCGGTTGAGCCTATGTGCGTAGATACACACATGTATGTATTTACATATATACACAGGTTGCGGCAAGTGTGTTGCATCGCATTTGCATGCATTTAACATCGGATTGCAACGCATGTTTCGCACTGTGAATGTGGGGCAGCCGTTGCGGTGCAATCCGCGTTGTGCAATCTATGTGGTGCGAGATACGGGGTACCATCAATATTGTGTACTCTAAGAATATGTTTGACATATCTGCGGGCGCAACTAATTGGGAACATCTGGCAGTCGTCAACTCCAATGCTCGAGCAAACATCCCAACCACCAACCCGCACACTGCTGGCCAACACATAACTGGCGCAGTGACGCGAGGACCGTTCTCACATAGATCCATGGCTCGGGTGGGCACGTGTTGATGGTGACGACGACATCGGCGACGACGACGACGACGACGACGACGACGATGATGATGATGATGATGATGATGATGATGATGATGATGATGATGATGATGATGATGATGATGATGATGTCGATGTTGTCATGATGATGATGCTGATGATGATGATGATGCTGATTATGGTGGTGATGATGATGAGGATGCTGATCTTGATGAAGATGGTGGCGCAGATAACGAGGGCGACGCCAACGATGACGAGACGACGGCAACGATGATGATGGTGATGATGAGTATGATTGTTTCTGATGCAAGCTATGAGATGCAAGCTAGGTGCTGCGCGAAAGTTGATGCAATCTAGGTGGAACAGTCAATGTGGTGCAACAGCTGTGATGCAATCCAACGCCCTGCAAGCTGTGTCGTGCAATCTATGCGTGCGCTCGGAAACGCCAGCCAGCGCACCGAGCCGCCGCGAAGCGCCCACGGGCGCTTCGCCGTTGAGCTTCCGCACAAGGGCGCGGGACAGAGGACGGACCGGAGCCACCGAGGGAGAGGACGATGCTGTAGAAGTCGCGCCAGCCGTGGCCCGACCCCAGAGAGGCCACGATGACGGCTCCAAGACAGGCCCATGAATGGGCACCGGGAACGTGATGGGGAATCCGCCCACTGCTCCCCAACGATCCCCGCACATAGTGCTCCTAGCCTCCAATTGTTCCTACTGGGCCCTGACGTGCGCACACACAATGCGCGGCGGCGGGATGAGCCGAAGGCAATCGGGCCCGAACCTGGCGCGACCCCAGCTGGGGCTACCTCTCTCCGTGCCGCGCCCGTACAGAGTACGAGCAAAATAAACGTCTCGCTGAGGGCAAGCCGGCACAGATCCCAGGAGAACCCTGCGCCATAATATGTCGTGCTGCGGCCTGCTGAAACCAGTTGGTGGCATGCGAAACAATACATGCAATGCAGTACGATGCGTTGTAAAGCAATGCGAGGCAGCCTGATCCGATGCAAAGCAGTTAGTACAGCCACCATGCCAGCCACGTAGTGCAAGCTAACCGCCTCACACTGCAACTCACACCAAACACAAGAGAAGGAGACCAGTTCGAAGCAGTGCAATGCATTCAATTTCAAGGCGATGCAAAAAGGAATGCTGCGCAAAACGATGGAAGTGCACAGCACCACAATTCAAAACAGTGCGATGCACAGCACTGCAATGTAATTGAGCTGCTAAGCTTGCAATGGGATGCAAAGTAACGGCAGTGCCAACACAGTGGAATTTCAAAGAAGAGCGATGCAAGAAAGTTCGAATACACTAAAAGCAAAGCAACGCAATGCAATAGTCATCGATGTACTTCGATGCTTTCAAAGGAAGTCCAAGTCGGACACATACGATGCAACATAATGTCAGCTCAGAGCAACGCAGTTCACTGCTATGCACAACAAGGTAGAATAACACGAAACAAAATAATGGAAAATCGATGTATGTACAACTTGAAACACTGCAGCGAGCCCGGTCAGTCCAGCGAGCCTGCGGGGCAGATTAAGGAATCCTGAGCCCCCCCGCAGAATAATCTGGAGCGCCTGAATGACGGAAGGATGCTACAGCCCCCCCGCAAACCAAACAACAGGGGCCCCTGGGACAAAGGCCAATACGGGGGAATCGAACCAAGAATCACCTACATTGGATCTCAAATCATGGCACCAGCAACTTCGCGCCCGTCGTGGTCGTCGTGGTCGTCGTCGTCGTCGTCGTCGTCGTCGTCGTCGTCGTCGTCGTCGTGGCAGTCCTCGTCGTCGTCGCGGCAGTCGTCATCGTCGTCGCGGTCGTCGTCGTCGTCTTGGCAGTCGTCGTGGCAGTCGCCGTCGCCGTGGCACTCGCCGCCGTCGCCGCAGCCGTCGCCGCGGCAGCCGCCATCGCCGTCGAGGCACTCCTCGCCCCGGCGGGCCGTGCGCCGCCGGCCGCCACGCAGGGCCCCTGGCCTCTTCCCCCCCCCCCCCTCTGCACTTCGCGCCCCCGCCGGCCCCTGGCCATCGCCGCCGCGCGGGGCCCTGCGCCACTCCTCGGGGTCTTCGCGCCCCGACGCGCCGCGGCGGCCGCACGCTGCCGCCCGTCGACCGCACTTCTCTCACGCCTCGCGCTCCCTGCTGGCACAGACTGCGCCCCATGGGCGTTTGAGCTCCACGGCGCTGGCATCACCCACGAACGAGAGAGCTTCTGGGAAAGCCACCACGAGAAGCCACCATCGAGCGGACGGCCATGGCACCCTCTTCTGGCCAGCTAGAGGCACTTGGAAACGTGAGGTTAGCACATTCGGCGGCATTGCAGACCGCATGTTTTCGGCGAGGGGTGCTGGGGTGCGTTGTACAGATCCAACGTGTAATCTGGGCGCCCTATTCTGGGCGAAGAAGGTGAGGAACCAATGCACTTTCATGAACTTTTGGATCCAAGCTCCTGCAACAGGATGCACAGCTGTTCTATGAGCTCATCGCAAGACGGCGCCTCCTTGAACTTCACGGTATTTACAACAACTGGGTGCGGCAGATTGGTGGTGGATGTCTGTGCGGCCTCCGGGGCCGTGATTGGCAGAGGTAGACACAGAGAAGATGCATGAAGAGATATTGCGCAAGAGGAGCATGCAACGCCAAACCACAACATGGGTGCCAATGAGCGTGTCTGAGCGTTCGGGATCTTCCGACTCAGCACGGACTGCGTTGTTCGATCGGGGGCGGAATTTCGAAATATTCTTGGAGGGAGGAGAAGAGACACGAGCGAAACCCGCTAATCCATGACAGGGGCAGATGCGCGTGGGTACACAACACTGTCTCGTGAGTCTGCAAGGTGCCCTGGCAACAGAGTGCATGGACATTGCGCAATGCTGGCCCAACGCGTACTCCCACGCTCGCTTTTTCAGAGTGCGAGCAACGTGTATCCCATCTCATTCCGACCATCTTTGGGTATGCGAATTGCTTAGCTTCATCATTGCAACACATCGACCTGGTCTCGGGCCCAACAACGTACCTCCAATCCTACCTCTGTAGAGTGATTGGAAAGGACAAACCAGCACTGTGCCTTCGTGCGTGCCCATCTCCTCCTCCTCCTCCTCCTCATCCTCCTCTTGCTGCTTTTCCTTCATGAGATTTCTACTCCTCATCCTCGCTCCCCTCTCTCCTGATCTTCTTCTCTTCCCCTCCTCTGCCTTCCTCTCCATTTTCCTCTCCCACTCCTCCTGCTCCTGCTCCTCGCTACTTCTGCAGCTGCTCATCCTCTTCTCCCTCCTCCTCCTCCTCATCCTCCCTTCCCCGTCCTCCTTCTCCTCCTCCTCCCGTCCTCATCCTATTCGCATCCTCTTCTTTCCTTCCTCCTCTTCCTCCCTGTTCTGTCCTCCTCGCTCCTCCTTTTCTTGTCGTATCTTCTCGTCTCTTCACTTTTCTTCACTTCTCTTTTGTTCTCTTCTCTTCTCCCGTGTTCCTTCTTCTCCTCCCTCCTCCTCCTCCTCCTCGGTCCTCCTCTTCCTCCTCCTCCTCCTCCTCCTGCTCTTCTCTCATCTGGCTCCTCTCCCTCCTGCTGCTCCTGACGGCTGCTGCTCCTCCCTCAGCTCTCTCCTACCTTCTCCCCCTCTCTCCTCCCCCCTTCCCTGGTCCCTCCTCCCCGCAGCTCAGACATGCGATGTCTTGATTTGTTTCAATATGGGGTCCCCAGGAATCCCGACCCTTTCCCCAGGGCCAATTTTGTAACCCCAGCGATTTTTGTTTTAACGGTCCTGGGGCCCGGCGAGGGCCCCAGGAGGCCGAAACTGGCTAAAACCTCCAGTCGATTGTTGCTCCACAGCGCGAGCACGTCTGGGAATGTACCCGATATGGCGCCTGTATCTCGGCCATCGAGTCCCCGAGCGCGACGAGTTTTAGGACGCCGCTGCTTGGCACCTTGCACTCGGTCAGGACCTCGGTCGGTTCCAGTTGCGCGCCGCTGCGGGGGGGGGATGATGGACAGTCTGACAAGAAGGGGAACACCAGGAGGCGAGAAGCAGCGAGGACGGTGGGACGGGGACCCACCCCATCCCTCCGCAAGGCCAAACACTCAGCCTTGCTCGCGCCGTGACGTACACCACGACGGGCGGCTTTCGGCCTCAATGGGCCCTGGCCGGGTCCTGCGACTTCCAGAACATGACTCGGGATGCAAAGCCGGCCCTGGAGAAAAGGACGGGACTTCCGGACACCGGGCATTCAAAGCATCAAAAACATAGCAGTTCTGGAGACGGGGGCCCACTCCGCACCTCCCCCAAGCCACGCGCAGCCTTGTGAGGGGGCCAGCCCGGGCTGGCTCGAATCTCGAAGCCGGATCGGGTCGCCAACGGATTGTCGCGAACTGGTTCGACATCGGATCGTTGTGCCCAGCTCTGGCTGGCCCTGGCCAGCGCTGGTGAATCGGACCAACTTGAACCGAATTGGAATCGCGGCCCCAATCGGCGGGTCGAGTCGTGCGGAATCGGTTCGTATGCGGCCCGACGGGGCTCGAGAAACAGCCCAGTGAACCACACGCTCCTAGGGAAGCCAGGGCCCCTTCGTTACCGACGCCAGCCGTGGCCTGGCATCAACTGGACGTCGTCAACAGCATCCATCAATCATACTCGCCTCGCTTCTGCCAGCTCGCCTCGCCTCGCTTCGGCCAGCATGGCTCCTTTGCGCAACCAGGGGCCAGGGTCTGGTTGATCGATGGAGGACCTTTTCCCTCCGATCTCACCTCTTGGCGACATGGCGAAGTACACTCGGGAATTCGCGCTCCCAACGGGCCAGACTTTTTTGCTATGGAGGGGGGAGAAGGGAACGGGCACATCCAGGCGACGATCTCGGTCAGGCCAGCATGCAACTCCAGTGTGATCGGCAAGCGGTGCAACGCGAAAGGCGAAGATGAATGTCCTGCCAACGTCTCCGAACTTGTGGCCCAGAACCAGGCGGAGGAGGAGAGCCAGCTCGGTAGCTGTCCTGTATCTCGAGTTAAGTCCAATATACCGACAGCGCGTATCAAGATGACTCGAAACGGCCGATCCCGCCTGGACGCTTTTTGGCAGTAAAAGGTACCCGATCGAGCTGAGATCAAGATGGCAAGCGGGAATAAGATCGAATATCACGGGAAAAAATACTAGAGAACAAATGGGAGAGCAGGACGAAAGAGGGCGAGGACGAGGAGGAGAGGTCGGCGGCGAGCCCAGGGGGGGAGGCGAGAGAGGGGGCAGGCCTCCTCAGAAGGCGGCGGGGCTTCGGAGAGGGCTTGCACAGCTTCTCAATTGAAGGGGCCCCAGGACACACAAATAAATACACACAAATAAAACTAATCCCCATACTTTCCCATATTTTCTGGGTTTTTGTCTTCCCCCCCAGTTCCCATATTTTCCCATATTTTCTGGGGAATCGCCGATTAATTGTGTCTGTGTGTTCCTTTTCCTCCTGATCAATGGCGCGAGGGCTTCCGAGAAGCCCCACGGCCTGCTGAGAAGGCCTTGAGATGGCTGCAGGAGGCTTCCAGAGCGCAAGCTTGACGAACGCCTTTGTGGTTGAGCCTCGTCGTCGTGCTGGGCATCGGTTCTGGATAGGGTGGCGGGGGGATGCGCGAAACGTCGCTCATGTGTCCTCGATCTGCCCTGCACTGAGCATGTGTCTTCGAGCGCGCATGGTATCTTAGGCCGTGTCCCGCAAGCGTACTGCAACGGTTTGTGTCATCTTGGGTGCGGTAAGATACCACGGTGACTCGATCAATGAATCACGAATCGCTCCACACCTGAACTGTGTCTGCTCGGCCTGAATCAAAAGATACCAGGTACCGCCCTTCGATCTCAGCGCTCCTCCCGGACCCAATCCTAGACCCTTTCGGAGCCACCCTTGGGCTCTCGCAACCGTCTGAGAAGCGCCTCCCCAGCCCTCTCTCGCCGAGGCACGGGTCCTCCCAGCCTGATCTCTTGTGACTGCTCATCCTTGGATGGCTCCGAGAGCTGGGCCCAGCTAGCATAGTGAAGGGCGACGAGGCTAGATCTCGCACGAAGAAAGCGGGTCCCGAGGGAAACGGGTCTTGGACGCCAGGGCCTTTCCCCCGAGATAACTCTTTCATCCTGAACCGCTTCTGACAAGCCCCGGAAGCCCGAAAACGAACGAAACTCTCAGGACCCGCTTCCCTGAGGACCCCCTGTCCTTCATGGCGACAGATCGAGATCGGCCGCTGTCGAGAAAGGCTGCCAGCGGCCTCTCGGAAAGCCTCACGTTTCCAAGCGAAGACGTCTCCGGGGTAGCTCCGCTGGTACTTCTGCCGTGCCGACACCACCTGCGGGTGGCTCGGGCATCGCAGAGACTTTTTCTTGAGAAGGAGGGAGCGCGACCGCATAACTTCACCCGACTCGGCCTCGACAGCCGTGCGCATCAACAGGTCGCCACTCTCGGTGGTGGACAAACCTCCCTTTGGTACACCTCCCTTGAGGGAAACCGACCCGGGACCGACACCGACGGACCCAGACCCGCAAAGATGACGGCCGCGGCGCCCTCTCGCGAATCGAAAGCGGCCAATTCACTGATCGACGTGTCAGGGTGGGAGGTCTGTCGACCTCCGACCGTGGTGCCCCTCGGCTGCCTCCGACCGCGGCGTGGACCCGCGCCGCTGCGACCACACAGAGCGTGGGTGCTACCGCCTCGGCCCTCCGGACGGCTCCTCCTGCCTCTCTTGCCTCCTCCTCCTCCTCCTCCTCCTCCCCCTCCTCCTCCCCCTCCTCCTCCTCTTGCCTCCTCCTCCTCTTGCCTCCTCCTCCGACGCCTCGGGCACCGCCAAAGCCGAGCCGGGCGGCGCTCCGTGTGGGCTCGCCGCGCGCCGCGCAGCCCGTCGGGGAGCGGGGCAGGGCGGGGGCCACGGCGAGGTGGCGAGAGTGCCAGCGCGCGGGAGGGCAGGCGAGAGCGACAGGCAGCCAGTGCCTGCAGTCGAGGCGCATGAGAAAAATTGCGCGGCGAGGACGTTAAGGGCCTTGGACGGCCATGCCAACACCTTTCGCGAGGGGCGCGACCAGCGAGAGCGGCCATGGATGAGCCGAAGGCGGAAGACGCAAGGGCAGCCATGGAAAATCGCTCATCCTTACTGTGCGACTTGACTATGCTAGCATGACAAGCACAGGGTGCCAATCGTAAAGAGCAGTCGCTACAACATAACTACTCCAGCCATGACAGCACATGCTGTGAAGTGAAACCAGCCACACACTGGGACTGCGCATGGCAAGGATCATAGTGATCAGAACGCGGGTCACAATGGCTCGGCCAGAAAATTGCGTGGCGTCGCTACTGCGCACCATGTAACTTTATAACGCGTGCAAGTGTTGACAGCGAAAAGCTGCCAAGCAGAGCGCACAATTCGAACTCGCTTCTGCCCGCCCCCCGGCGCGCGGGTGCCGAGTTTGTCGGAAGTGCCCTGGACATGCGACATCTGGATGCTTCAACGCCGCGGCCCCTTACGACCCAGGTGCTTGCAATATTGCAGGCACCAGATGTTTTCGCCTAGCTTCGGGCCCGAGGGCCATCGCATATCGATCTGGTTCGACGAGTGCCGCAGAAAGATGGGGTCCAAGGCTCTGTTCGTGATTTCTTGAAATGCTGCCCTCCCCCCCCCCTGGGCAGGGAGAGCAGGATACGGCCTGTCGGAGGATCGGTCGCCGCGGCCGCTCCAGAGTCGGGGATGGACAGAACCCCCTTTAGCACAACGTGGCTTAGTGAAAACGACCTCGGGCCCAAACCTGGCGGCCGCACGCCTGAAAAATGACGGCCGCGGCGCCCTCTCGAGAACCGAAAACGGGCAATTCACTAATCGACGTGTCAGGGTGGGGGCTCCGTCCACCCCCGACAGAGCGCTCGGGGACGTGCTGAGAGCGTTCCAGCACGCTCTGGCACGCTTTACCCCTGTCTTGGCCCCACCCGCGAATTCACTAGGCCACCAAGCTTTGCGCACTGCGCCCCGCGATGCGCGATTCCCTTCACGCCCTCGCGCCCTCGCGATACATTAGGTCACTTGGCATGGAAGACGAGCAGGTGTGGCCTGCCTTCGACAAGGGTCGATTCGCCTGACAGGGCTCGCCCAGCGATGCAAATCGGCCGGGGCACGTCAGATCCCATTGGCGCCAAACAGGGCCAAAGAATCAGCACGCTCGTTCAACCATTCCCCAGTGTGGCCGTCGACCTTCCGAAATGCAACGTGCCACTCAACCTGATCAAATGTGCAACTGGTCGCCCAACTTCGCGCATCGCGCCCCGCGGTGCGCGCTTTGTGCTCGCGCCCTCGCGCCCTCGCGTCGCCCCTTTCGGAGAAGGGCGCCTCTCCCGCCCAAGCCTCAATGCTCGAGGCGCGGTTATCTTCGCGTCCCCTCAATTGGCCCAAATTCAACTTTGCCGTCGCAAGTCGGAAACATCTGCAGGAGCCCGAGGCCGAATCTGCGATCGTGGCCAGCCGGACGTCATTACGCATGACGGGATTCCCATGAGGAGGCCAGAGTACCTGCTTGGGCTTTCTTTTCTGGGTCTGCCACTGAGAAGTCTTCCATATCCTCGGCAACCTATGTTGCAGAGATGCCAACTAGCGGCACTCACACACGCACCCGTGTGGGCGGGCATGCTGTGGGGAACCATGGGAAACCCATCGGGGCTGGCGCGATCCCGTGTTGGCCCCGTGACCCAATGGGGCTATGTGACCCCGTGTTGGTCATGACCGCCGCTCCGGTACACAGTCCCTGCGACAAAAACAGAATGGACAGCGCCATGTCTCTGGCTGACTACCTACCAGACCACCCCAACCCAACCCGAAGACCCAAATTTCGGGTTGGGGGGGGTACGGGTTCCATATGTGTTTTCTCGATGTTCCCCGACCCCCCCCAACTGGAAATGGAGGGCAAATTGAGGCCTTCGGGTTGGGTTGGGGTGGTTTGGTGGGTGGTGACTGGCAGCCTACCGTCTCAAAGATCCCCCCCAAACTCTCAAACGGTCGGGAGAGACCCCCGGGCTCCTCCCCGAGCCCCGCGGGCCTGCTCTTTTTTCTCCCCGTCGACCACGACTCGGCTGGATGCCTCGACAGCCTCGCATGGCCACCGAGACCGGGCCCCGGACATGGAGGGGAGCCGGGCTGCGTGGGCAGCCGACCACCAAAGAATACGGAGACCACCAAATTGGGCGCCCGAGTTATCCAGGGTAACTCGGGTCCGGGGTAACTCGGGTTTGGATTCCCGAAAAAGGACCCCGAATTACCCCTGACCCGAGTTACCCCTGATGATTCGGGGCTCTGGACGCCCGAGTTATCCGGGGTAACTCGGGTCCGGGGTAACTCGGGTTTGGATTCCCGAAAAACGAACCCGAGTTATCCCTGACCCCAGTTACCCCTGATGATTCGGGGCTCTGACCAAAGAATACGGAGTACGAGCCCCGCGGGTCTGCGATCCAGGCGGCACGGGCCGGCCCCCCGCCGGCGCGCCTGGATCTTCGGCAGGAGCGCCAGCGCTCTGGGAGCGAACCTCGACGGGGCGGCGTCCACGCGGGGCGGTAGGGGATGGGAGGCACACGGGGGGGTTGGGGTGGGCAATCCTCCTGCCTCCGCCTCCTTCCTCCTCCTCCTCCTCCTCCTCCTCCTCCTATCCTCCTCCTCCTCCTCCTCCTCCTCCTCCTCCCTCCTCTCCTCCCCTCCCTCCCTCCTCCCTCCTCCCTCCCTCCCTCCCTCCCTCCCTTCCCCCCTCCCCTTCCTCCCTCCTCCTCCCTCCTCCCTCTCCTTCCTCCCCCTCCTCATCCCTCCTCCCTCCTCGTTCCTCCCTCCTCGTTCCTCCCTCCTCCTCGTCCTCCTCTTCCTCCTCCTCCTCCTCCTCCTTCTCTTCCTCCTGGGGGGGAGGGTTGCGAACTCAATCGTGTCCGTTTCGTTTCCGTAAGTGCGAGACGAGTGTCATTTGCAGCTATCCGTAATCATGGTGGCTTAGGGGCCCCTTGAGCCGCCTTTTGGGCGGTCAGACGCATTACTTGCTGGTTCCAGAGAGCCAGCCAGATTATCGAGATTGAATATCAGAATATTCAGACAAAGAGATTTCCCTGGGACAGATTCGAGGGCTGGCTATCTGGAGAATACCCGGACTGCGTGCAGACCAACGCTTGCGGCGAGGAGAGATATACATCTTTGGCTTCGCGCGTGCTGAGGTAAAAGAGAGCTTGAGATCCACGGACCTAGAGAGAGTTGACGACATTGCATCAACACTTATTCAGAGACACCTATCGGTGAACCTGCATTGGTAGCGGAGCCGGTTGGCTCCATACCTGGACAGCCGGCAAAGATGGGAGAATCTCGAGACGACGGCAAGAAGGCACCTACGTGGGATGGAGACGTCACCAGATTCCAGGAGTATCGAGAGCGTGTGAAATGGTATGTGGCTGGTCTTTCACATCGAGACAAACAAGTGGCAGGAGCGAGACTGGCGGCAGCTCTCACAGGAGAAGCATGGAAGGCGCTCGAAGAGGTTTCAGATGAAGGACGAGAGCTGCTGGAAAAGACTGGAGGCCACAAGATCCTTTTAGAGTTCCTGGACGAGACGCTCATGGACGAACCCATACCGGAGGCCGCGAAGTACTTGAAGGAATACTTGTTCACGCTGCGACGGAGGAACAACGAGGGCATGAAGGCCTACGCTCAGAGGAGCAGGATCGTCGCAGATAAGTTGGACCAGAGCTCAGGCGAATTGACGAGAAGGACACTACGACAGAGATCAACTTAGCCAAGAAGATGCGGCCCGAGGAGAAGACAGAGTCCGTGACGCTGGAGTCCACTCGCGAACGAGAAGGCCCCGAAGGCGAAGATGAAGGCGCAGAGGACGACGGCAGCTGGAAGGACGAGAACGACGGCTACTGGAAGGGTAGCTGGTGGTATGGCAGCAGCTGGTGGTCGAGTTCACCGACGGGGTCAGCTGGCAGGACTTGGCCACAGGCGACGACATCGCTGAAGGCACACAAGAAGGTGACGCTGAAGGAAAAGGCTACGGATGCGCTGTGCTCACTGATGGCACGTTTCGACCTGGAGGATGACGATACCGACATCAAGGCGCTGAAGGAGGTGGCGACAGAGGCGCGCGAGACGCTGATCCCGTCGGTGATGGCGGGCTGGCTGCTACTACAACGAGCCGGACTGAATGCTCAAGAGCGCGCGGGAGTCCTGTCGTCAGCCAAGAACTCGCTGAATCTGAAGAACATCGAGGCAGCGCTGCGGGACCAGTGGGCAGACGTGGACCTGAAGGAGCACGACGCGCACAACAAGAAGAGAGACATATTCCCGCACAAACCTGGCCGTGGACGAGCACTAGGAGTGTTTGGAGAAGATGAAGATGATCAAGAGGAGGCTCCAGACGACTACGACCCGGAAGACGACTACGAAGCCTACGCGGAGTTCGACTGGGACGAGGACGAACTCGACCTCGAAGGTCTGGACGAGGAGGAACGCGCGGAGGCAGAGGAGGCACTGGCGGTCATCGCCGGAGCCAAGAAGGACGTCAAGAACCAGAAGAGGACGCTGGCACAAGCGCGGGCCGTGGTGAAAGATATCAAGCAAAGCCGAGGGTTCTTTCAGGAGGGCAAGGGCAAGGGCAAGAAAGGCGGCAAGGGCCAAGGAGGGCCGTGCTTCATCTGTAGCGGACCGCACAGGAAGGCCGACTGCCCGAAGAACCCGGAGAATCGAAACAAGGAGCAGCCACGCGGACGAGCATCTCAGGTTGGAGCGTTGGCGTTCAGCTTCGCGAACTGGGAGGCCAACGACGACGAGCTCGAGGAGAGCGACCTGAAGATGTAAAACAGGGCTAGGATCGGGATAAATTGCTCCAGAGCGTTCCGGAACGCTCTCAGAGCGTTCCGGAACGCTCTGGAGCGGCCGCGGCGCCCAATACATCCTCCAAACCCGCCGATTCTCAGAGATTTCGAGTTATCCCGATCCGATTTTGTCCCGATCTTCGCGTCGTTTGGAGATGGCCTACACGGAGTTCGAGGTGGAGCACGCGCTGGCCGGTCTCGCGGACGAGACGGAGGGGCGCATGGTGCTCGACAGCGGAGCGACGAAGACGTTCGGGTCGATCGTGGCGCTCGAGAAGATCATCGAGAAGCAGCAGCAGGCAGGAATCGACACGAGCAACGTGAAGTGGGATGCACAGAGACATACTAATACTACGTGTCCGCCTTGGAGGCGCGCGTCCGACCCGAACATATAGTATACCCATCTTGTAGTATATCGTTTCCCGAGCGGTGTGGCCAGAAAGCGCCCGCCACGACGCATATACTATAAGATTTCTCGGTGCGCGCGTCGCCCCTGGGGGGGCGACGCACATATAGTATAAGTATGTTGGGGTGTTGCCGATGACAGATCGACCGAAGTTCGGGTTCGCTAACGGCGACGCGGAGCAGTGTTCGTGCCGGACGAACCTCCCGCTGCAGGCGAACGGCAATCTGGGTAGCGTGTCGGGGCTACGCGCTGAACACCAAGGGGGACCGCTACGTGCCGTTGCTGGGGTCAGTGGATTTCTTGAAGCGTGCTGGAGCGATCATCGACTTCGAGACGGGGATCGCCTGCTTCAACAATATCACGAAGAACAAGGTGGCGAAGCTCAAGCGGATCTCGACGGGACATCTGTGCATCGACATGACGAAGGACCTCTACGACGCGAAGGTGAACTACACTGACAGGGAGGACTTCAAGCAGAAGCTCGAGGATTTACAGCAGGCTCTCGGCACTGCGAGGGTCGCGGCGGCCGATCCAGCCGCGAACCCTGAATAGGGACAGCGCCCCTCCTTCTGCGGTGCTGGTTTTAGGAAAACAAAGCCAGCATCACGTCACTGGATTGGAGGACCTACCAGGACAGTGGGAGCAGAGGAGGGGACCGAGAGCAAGAGGGTACCGTTTGAGACTTCCGAGGATGTGAATTTCATTACAGAAACCACTGAGGATTTCGTGGGCACGGGTTTGGAAATGAGACCGACGAGTTCCGAGCGGGAACGGGTTTCGAGTACATGTGCGAGTCCGACACGAACGACAGCTCGATCAAGGACTGCGAGTACTTCGACCCGATTTCGAAGACTTTCGGCGATCCAGACCACACCGACACGATCGAAGTACGTGACTACCGATACGTGTGAGACTTCTTTCAGGGGATCTCAGAGGCCTGAGAGTGTCTCGAATGGGTTCGAGAAGACACCAAAGCCCCCAGAGATAAAAGTAACTGATGTCCTACACGAGAAATGCAAAGTACCTCAGATAATCATGAATGATGGTGGCGGTGATGCTGATTGCGATCCGCAACGTGGTGGCTCAAGATCCAGGTTTCAATGGATCAACGCCAAACGGGTCAAGGCCATCAGGGACGATGCCCGGGGCGGCAGCGGCGGCTTCGACGCCCGCAGCCGACGTCCCGATCGACAGCAACAAGCACCGCAACATCAAGAAGGACCAATGCCTCGACGGTGGTTCAGGACATCGGAGGGGCAGTGGAGACCGACAGCGACGACAGACCGATCCAGAGCGATGGGGCAAGCGGACCATCGGCGAATGGATGACACTGGATCGTCGGGACCTACGACTGGACTGGGACAGAGCGGAGGCTGCCAACGAGAAAGACGATCGCTACACGGGCAAGCCCTGCTACGGCGAGCACGACACGACACACCCGCTGGCGAGGCACGCCAACGGATACAAGGTGAGCTACAAGTGCGTGAGATGCGAGCTGGTCATGCTGCACATCCCGAAGCACGGGGCGACGGGCAGGCACAGGCAGAAGGGAGCTCTGGGACCGACCGTGGGAAAGATCAAGATCGAAGAAGTGACGAAGGAGAAGGTCACCAAGGAGAAGGCGACGTCGGAGAGAGAGAGCCGGACCACGATCGAAGAGGTGTCTTCGGAGGACTCATTCGAGAAGGCCGGAGAATCAGAGGAGGAGGAGACGCCGTACCCGAGCACCGATCAGATGAGCAAGGCCGACATGATGTTCGACCAGATGCGCGACAGCACCAAGCGGAGGACGGACCCACCGACTCGCAGGAAGAAGAGGGAGTCTCCCCAGGCTGGGGAGCCTGTGGGTCCTTGAGAACCGACCTAGACGTCCCCTCAGGGGACGACGACGTCATCACGTTCGGGATTGACGTCGAGTACCACAAGGAGGAGATTAACCTGAAGGACTACAGCTGGGTGCTAGAGCAGGTGACAGAAGCTGGGATGGCGACAGACCTCTACGTGAAACAGCTGATCGAGTTCTGCACGGAGGAGGACAGCCAGCTCGGGAAGGTCGCGGAGGAACGCGAGGACGCCGAGATCATCAGGATCACGCGGAAGGACGCGGATCTCAGCACGAAACATGGACTGGAGATGGCCAAGAACCTGGCGGTGAAAAGCCCTGGAGCAGACATCTGGGGAAGCCTACCGTGCACAGCCGTCAGCGCGCTTCACCACGGTTACATCGGCAGACAGGATGGCCAGTACTGGAAGAAGCTCGAAGCACGAAAGAAGAACCTTAAGAGCATTGTGAATCACTTCATGGAAGTGAGCAGGATTGTCAAGGACAATGGCGGGGACGTGCACTTCGAGTGGCCACGTAACTGCCATGGCTGGAAGTACTTCCCGGAGCTGATAGAGTTCTTTGGTGAGATTGGCATGGAGAAGGTGAACTTCGACGGGTGCCAGGTCGGGGTGGTCAACACCAAGGGCGAGCCGATATACAAACCGTGGACGCTGTGGACCAGCAGGAAGAAGCTCGCAACGGCCCTGAGTGGCAAACGCTGCCCAGATCCCCAAGGACACGGACATGCAGAATGCCGTGGGAAGGATGCTACACTATCGGGCAAATACCCCGCACGAATGGCAAGAATCATCTGGCGGAATATCGTGGAACCGCCGAAGCTGATGGGCATGATCGAGGAGCTGAGACAGGAGGAAGCCCTGGCGAACGACAACAAGGAGATGTTCGACCATGAGAGGGAGCTAGAGCTGACAAGCGACGAGCAACAACAATGGAACGACCTGCCAGCGCTGAAGCAGAATGAGTTAATGAAAGCAGCGATGCGGCTGCATCGGAATACTGGACATCGACCACAGAGGGTGATGATCAGGATCCTGCGAAGACGTGGGGCTTCAGCGACGACAATCGCAGCCGTGAAGCAGATCAAGTGCAGCTCGTGCATTGAGAATCAGATACCAAGACCGAGACCAGCAGCGGTACTCGAGCCAGCTCGAGATCTATGGCAGGTGGTCGGCATCGACGTGAAGGAGATCCTAGGCAACGACCAGATCATGCGGAAGTACCTTGTGATCGGGGACGAGGCGAGTAAGCTGACGCTGGCGGTCAAGATCTTCTCAATACCCGCTCAGGAGTCGAGGAACTGCACCGCCAAGGAGCTGCTGGATGCGTTCAGAGGACATTGGTCAGATCGGTATGGCATGCCAAGCGTACTGAGGCTCGATCCGGAAGGAGCATTCGTGTCACACGAGTTCTATGACAATATTGCAGGTGAAGGAATGCAGGTGGATCCGTGTGCCACCCAGGCTCACTGGCAGAATGGCATCGCGGAGCGTGCAATCAAGACGGTGTTCGAGCGCGCCAAGGCCATGCATCGTGATCATGAGACCGACCTGGAGGCAGCTATACATGCGGCGGTGGAGGCACATAACACGGTCGAGAGAGTCGATGGATACAGTCCGAGTCAATGGGCCTTCGGACGAGACAAGAACTGGTCAGGGACTCTCAAGAAGGAGGATCACCTGGACGTCGTGAAGTGCACGAACCAGAGCTACATGGAGAACCTGTCCAAGCGGGTGCTGGCATCAAAGATCATTGGCGAGCGGATTCTCAAGCAGCAGCAGACGAGAGCAGCAGCAGCACGAGATCAACGACCACAACACCTGTATCCTGGGATGCTGGCATGGGCATGGAGATGTGGCAAGCAGGCTAAACAACCAGCACCAGCAGGACCACGACATCATGGGATTGACAAGGGCAGATGGTTTGGACCAGGTACCATCCTCGGGGTGCAGACGACCAAGACAAGCGACGGGACGCTCGTTCAATCCAGAAAGGTATGGGTCGTGATGGGGTCGAGACTGTGGAGGTGTGCACCCGAACAACTACGAGCGGCAAGTCCAAGAGAAGAAGAGATGTTCTTCGAGGAATAGCACACACCCTGGACATTCGTGGAAGGACTGGAGAGTCTCAACAAGGGGGAGGTGATTTCCGTGGACAAGGAGGACGCGCCGATGAATGAGGAGACCTACACACCGGAGACCACAGCTCGTGCACCAGGAGACGGAGACAAGGAGGACCACTGGGAAGAAGGTGAGTTCGAAGGACGACCTGCACACATCAGAGTACATTTACGACCGAGAGTGGCGTTGTTTACGCCAAGAGGCTCCAGAGCCAAACCGGAAAAGACGACCATGGAAAGGATTACCGTGATCAGGTATGAGGACGGATCCGAGGAGACGGTCAAGGACGACAACTGGAACGTGCATGGGAAGTCTACGAGGTCAATGGGACGACGCTGGACTGGCAGGACCAACCTGTTTCCCATCACGGACAAGCCAGAGGAGATGAAGGTAGACCAGAACGCCAAGGAGGTGATCCATGAGAAGGCGAAGAAGATGGTCGTGGAGCAGGTACCGGAGACCCATGGGGACAATGGGAAAGACCAGCCGTCAATGGATGACATCGAGAGCGAGAAGGTAAAGAACACGAAACAGACAACTGCAGGAGGAGCAGATCTCAAAATACGGATCGTCGAGAAGAGAAAAGTCAAGACCGACCTGTTCGAAAAGACGAAGAGGAGGGTCAGGATGCGGACCAACTTCGGACCAGCACTGAGGAGCTACAGTGCCTTCTTCAATGACAAGATCGCGGACGGTGACCAGATGGACTGGGACAAGCTCGACTGGGAGAACTTCGACGTGGCGGCATGGGCTGCTACGGAGATCCAGGAGGACCTGGAGATCCCGACGGGGATCGACTACATCGAGGTAGCGTTCGAGGCATTCGACGCGAACAATATGAACAAGTTCACGAGGCAGCCGGAGCAGTACATCACCAAGGCGATGAAGAAAGGAAGGTCTGAGGCAAGTGTCAAGCACATGACCGACGAGCAGAAGAGTCTGATGAAGGGGGCGAAGCTGGTCGAGGTGAGAGACTGGATCGCCAACGACGTGCTGGAGAGGTTACCGCCACGCATCAAGCCGAAGTCGTCGGACGTCCTGAAGACGCGCTGGGTACTCACCTGGAAGAAGGACGAAGCGACAGGAGGCAGCCGAGCAAAGGCGAGACTGGTAGTGCTGGGATATCAGGATCCTCGGCTAGGAGAAGAACCAGTGGCATCGCCGACCATGACCAGGAGAGCTCGGAACATGATCTTCCAGCTGACGGCCATGAAGAAGTGGAAGCTGAAGAAGGGGGACGTCAAGGCCGCTTTCCTGCAAGGAAAAGGGATGCCAAACGACACGCCGACCTACATCGAGGCCAACGATGAGCTGGCGGAGGAGTTCGGAGTACCTGGAGGGACAGCGGTGAGACTAAAGAAGGCAGTGTACGGACTATGTCAAGCACCAAAGTCGCGGCACGAGAGCGCGGGCACCCTGATGGAGCAGCTCGGTGGACAACGATGCGTGTCGGACCCGTGCGTCTGGGTTTTCAGCGATGAGAACAACAACGTGTTCGGGGTAGTTGGCACACACATGGACGACTTCCTGATCGCCGGAGATGGTGGAGTTCGATGGCGAGAGATCGAGGTGAAGCTGCAGAAGGCGTTCCGCTGGACTCCATGGGAGGAAAGAAGCTTCAAGCAGACCGGACTGTCGGTCACGCAGACGGCCAGCAGCGAGATCACCATACACCAGAAGGAGTTCATCGACAACATCACCGAGATCAACATCGGACAGGAGCGTCACAAGCAACGGGACCAGAAGCTGACGGATAAGGAGATGACGATGCTTCGGGGGGCACTGGGCGAGATCCAGTGGGTGGCGACGCAGACGATGCCGAAATATCAGGCGCAGTGCTCAATATATCAGAGCAGTGGACCGCCGGCGACAGTGGAGACGCTCTTCGGGATCAACAAGCTGATCAGACAGATGAAGAACGATCACGGCTACAAGCTGAAGTTCGAGAGTTTCGAGGGAGAAGGAGTGGTCGCAGGCTGGAGCGAAGCAGCCTGGGCGAATCGACCAGACGGGCTCTCGACAGGAGGATATGTGATCGGGATTGCGCCAGCGGACATTCTGAACGGCAAGCGGGCCCCAGTTGGCTGGGTTTCGCATCGCAGTGGTAAGCTACAGCGCGTGGCCAGGAGTTCGTTGGCGGCCGAGGTTCAGGCACTGACAGTGACAGAGGACGAGCTTTTCATGGTAAGAATGATGCGGGCCGAGCTGAACGGTTTTGTTTCGGACGTGGCCGCGGGAACCGCGAGCGAGAGCAAGACGGCAAAGCCGATGCTGGAGGGCGTGAAGCAGGTGCGATCGTGCCTGCGCGTGGACGCTAAGAGCATCTACGACTGTCTGGCCAAGCAGGTGCAGATGCAGAGCCTGGCCGAGAAGCGGACGGCGCTCGAGCTGATGGCCTTCGAGAAGTGCATCAACGAGACAGAGTTGATTGCGCGGCGGTGCCACTCCGAGGCCAACCTGGCCGACAGCTTGACAAAGACGACAGCTACAGGGCCCATCGACCTGTACATGAAGACGTGGAGCTGGGCACTGGTAGACGACGACGAGCAGCTCAGTGCCAAGAAGCGTAAGGAGCGCGGGATGAGCAGGTTCGAGAACAACAAGGATATCTCTGGCCTCATCAAGATGGCATGCATGAAAGTGGGAGTGTCGTTACCAGATGCAGCAGATGGTGATGACAATGATGACGATAACATGATAGTGAGTGAGCCTACATCCCATGGCTGACACCGCTGTGCTGCAGTTGCCTGTCCTGTTGCCTGTCTTATGGCCTGTTCTACTGCGTGTTTTATTTTCTGAGACGCACCAGAGCGGGTGCGGACGTTTCGAGGCTCTAAGCCGTTTCCATGGAGTAGCTGCAACAAAGATTTCTGGGGATACGAACTCAATCGTGTCCGTTTCGTTTCCGTAAGTGCGAGACGAGTGTCATTTGCAGCTATCCGTAATCATGGTGGCTTAGGGGCCCCTTGAGCCGCCTTTTGGGCGGTCAGACACATTACTTGCTGGTTCCAGAGAGCCAGCCAGATTATCGAGATTGAATATCAGAATATTCAGACAAAGAGATTTCCCTGGGACAGATTCGAGGGCTGGCTATCTGGAGAATACCCGGACTGCGTGCAGACCAACGCTTGCGGCGAGGAGAGATATACATCTTTGGCTTCGCGCGTGCTGAGGTAAAAAAGAGCTTGAGATCCACGGACCTAGAGAGAGTTGACGACATTGCATCAACACTTATTCAGAGACACCTATCGGTGAACCTGCAAGGGTAGGGCCCAGAGGGGGAGGCGGCTCCAGCTAAAACGTGGACTCTGCCGCAGCACGATGAATACTCATGCCAGACGATGCAGGGAGTTACCAGCCTGGAACATACCCCTATCCCTATGCTGGGCATCGCCCCATCACGATGCCAATCTTAGGGATTCCCTCAGTTTTTGAGGGCGCACCCCTAAGATTGTTATCGCCTTTCGGCGTGTCAATCTTAGGGATAGGGATAAGTTCGAGGCTGGTGAGGGAGGATGGTCGGGGCAGGCGACGGAGGAACTGGAGAACGAGAGACATGAAGCGGATGGGTATCTGTTGAGCCGAGGATATTTCCGTCAGGGATGCTCCAGCCTGAAAACAATACTTCGAACATGGAATCGGTTCTCCCCTCGAAATCGAAAGTCGTTTCCGTGCTTACGAAAGCTGGACTGATATCCGTCACCGCGCTCCCAATGCTGAGCGGTGGTGAATGGACTGATGTAGTGTCCAGTGCCATTTGGTAGAGCCCCTGGAATTTTCGAAGACCCTTCTCCTCGCCGTACCCACTCGCATGCATTGTCCACCGTTGCGAGACTCCCCGGGCGCCCCAAAGCAACCACCGGTCTCCAATACCTCCGAGCTGCCTACAATGACAGCCCAGGCAGCCACCGAGACGGCCAAGATGGTCTTACAGATGTTCAGGGGCCCGACAAACATTGACGATTTCCCCCCAAGGGCCCGAGAACGTCAAACGACTCCAAGAAGCTCTCCGGGCCCCCGAAAGCGACACACGCGCATCCATCCACACCGTAGGGTCGCGCATGATACATCCCCAAGCCGACGGTTTTTCTCTTGCACTGGAAACCGTAGATCCAATTGGTTTCCATTATGTATGCGTGTGTGCAAGAGTCTCGCGGATCCCATTTATTTATCTCTTGAATATTTTGGGGGGCGTGAAAGCTTCGTGGATCCCATTCTCGTGCTGAAGGAAATGTGCAATGATAACAAGTGATACGGTGGGCCCACAGAAGGTCGGATCCACTAAGCCGTGGATCTGCAGACCAATGCTATGATTCTAAAGGGGAAGGGCTTCCCTGCCCGTCGACAAGTCGGTCGATCGTCGTCGTCGGCTGGTCGGTCAGTCGGTCGATCGTAGAAATCGTCGGTCGGTCGGCCAGGCCAGCCAGCTGGCTGGTCGGTCGGTTGGCGCGGCGGTCGGTCGGTCGGTCGGTCGGTCGGTCGGTCGGTCCGTCGTCGTCGCCGTCGTCTTGGTCGGTCGGTCGGTCGGTTGGTATTAGCTGTCGGGCGGTCTGTCCGTCGTTTTCTGGGGTGCCGGCGTGCGCCGAAGCGCGCCCTGCACGGGCTGCCAGTGCGCTGCCTGTTCGCACAGCTACTTCTCACAAGCTTCTCCCGCAACCACTTCTCACAAACTTCTCACAATCACTTATCACATCCAACTCTCGCAGAACATTATCACATGTTGGCGTCATCCGAACAGCGTTTCGAGCGGAAAGTTTTTCGGCATGCGTAAATTTGAAATCAGCACGTGGAACCCCCCAAATGAGTCTGTGTAGTCTAGGGGGCTCAGTGTGTGCGGTGCAGCCTGTAAGATGGAGTATGCGTGGTGCAACTGGTGGGGGTTGGAATCCCGTGTACAACCGACCGCGCAGCCCACCGCGCAACTCCGCAACGCACAACCTATTGGCAACCCACCGCGCAATCCACAGCAGAAGCCGCCGAACAGTCCAGCAACGGCTGGGTGGATCCTGGTGCATCCGGCCAACTGCTGACTGGAGAAGCCAAAAGACACTGATACCGGCACTCCCCGGACTTTTCCCTAGGTGCGATTTGACCAAAATTTTAAGGCGAACCCAGCCGTGGCGACGAGGGGCAGATGTTTAAAGAGACCTTATACGGCGAAAGCGGGGCAAAGGGAGCGGTATCGGTACATGTTCCACTTCTGGCTTCCTGCGCAACCCACCGCGCAGCCTGGCAGCGGCCGGATCCCAGCAGCAGTGGGCCAGGTGCCTACCGCGCAGCTCGCCACGCAAAGTGAACACGTACCACAACTTTTACGTATCCAGACGTCTCTGCGACAATCTCGTCCACCCTCTAAGGTGCAAACCTTTGGCGTCGGCGGCGAGGCAGGGGTCGCCTGCGCTAGCGGAAAAACCGAAACGGGGGTGCCGTTAGAGCTGATTGTGTCACCATGTAGGATAGGGAAGAGGCGAAGGAAGCGGCCAAAAGAGCCGAGGGTGCAAACACGGTCTCGGGGTGGCGTCGCGCCCCCCGACGCCCACGCGAAGAATGATGCGGGCCCTGAAGTGCTCACGCTGTGAAAAACACGACGGCACATGTCGTGCCGTTTTCGGCCCCTGGGGGCTTTCACCGGGCTCCGGGACCGTCAACAAAAACTCCTCGGGATGAAAAGCCGGCCCTGGGGAAAGGGTCGGGACTGCTCGGGAACCCCTACTGGAAATCAAGACATCGTATGTCTGGGGGTGAATCTGAGAATCGCACGATCAGGACGGCATCTGTAGCAGGATCATGGGGGCTGGGCTATAGACAGCAATCGCCGCAACCACTTCTGCATCCCACTTGAATTCATGGGGCGTTACATATAGAGAAGTTCACTGGGGGCACGTACTGGCAGAGTGGAATCGTAATTGAGGCATTGGCTGCAGTTCACAGAGCCCGATCCCGTAGCAGCCGAGAACCGACGGCTACTCTCGGTGACCCAGACCTGCTCCGCATTGGTCACCTCGGCTCACGACGGTGACGGCAAAAACGGTGATGACAGACGCTGCGCACCCTTGGGTGTCTACTGTCCGTTTGCAACAGGCACGCGATTAGCAATTTTGCTATACGAAATATTTGGGCACAATCTTTGTCGATCTTTGAAGATCCGAGAATGCCCCAGGGCTTTTGTGGGCCCCGAAGGCCGTCGGAGGGATCAGTAATCCCACCGGCCCTCTGGGCGAAGGTGGTTTAAGGAGTTTCCTTTTCCACCCCCCTTTTTCCCCTTCGAGGAAAGGCTTACTCTTCCCCCCAACACCCTCCCCTGGACCTGGCTGGGGGTTCCGCGAGGTGTCAGGGCGTCCAAAACGGCCTCGACGAGGAAACCCAACTCATTGGTTTAAGTGAAATGTTGGCCCCATTTTGGCCTCTGGGGGGGGGGGGGGGGGGGCGCGAATTGCGACCATCCCCTTCCTTGATCGATGTCCTCCAAGATGGCCCCAAGAAGCGTCCAGGAGGCCCCAATGGGGCCCCAAGATGGCCCCAAGATGGCCCCCAAAAGGCCCACAGGAGGCCCCCACGAGGACCCCAAGTGGCCCCAAGAGGACCCCCCGAGTCACCCAAAACGCCCAAGAGCCCCCCAGGACCGCCAAGAGACCCCCAAGACGTCCCAAGAAACCGCCAACATAAACCCAAGAAGTGTCCCAAGAGGCTCCGAAAAACATCCGAAGAGACCTCTTGCCCTTTTGGTTGCCCTCCTCCTCCTGCTCCTCCTTCCTCCTGCTGTTCCTTCTCTTCTTCCTCTCTGGATGGGCTGGTGGGGGTACTTTGTGGTCCGCGGGCGCGCGAAACGAGTCGAACGCCGAGCCTGCTACGGCGGGCCGCGACGGTAACGAAGATAAAAACAGTGAGCGGCAGCACGCTACGGGCCGCGAGCCGACCAGGCATTGGGCGGCAGAAAAGCGCGCCGAACACGAAGACCTTGCACAAGAGCGTGGCGAACACAGAATGCCCGAAGAGCATGACAGTAAACGCGTAGTGAATAGTTTACCGATGAGACGAACTCCATAATGTCAGCGAAGAAGACGCAGCCAAAATGGCGCGGAGGACCGTGGCCAAGAAGGAGGCAATGCAGATGGCCTCGATATTGGAGCCTGAGAACGGTGACCCAGTAGCAAGTTCGAGCCGCCTTGCCGCGCAGGTGGACCTTCAATCGTCAACCGCCAAGCCCCGAGCGCGATCCAGCCAACCAACCTGGCAAGTGAAGGCGACCACAGGTGGAGCCCGGGCGCACCCAACTCCAAGGATCCTTATCGTACAGATAAGACTTCAGAGCCGTAGGAAGACACCTTGCGATTCACGTGCGCGGGCCAGAGGGCGACGGAGGAACCAGGTGACCGTGTGGCGGCACAATCAGTAGCCAAACCAAACATCCCAGGCCTTGCCGTACCGGTGGGCTTCAGGTGGGCACCCAGAGCCCCGCGCGATCCAAAAGCTGGACCGCACCAGGCCCGTGCAAGTGAACGCGACCACAAGTGAGAGCCCAGGCATACCCGCCGCCAAGAATACCTAGTCGTACAAGTAGGACTTCAACGACGTGGGATGACACCTTGCGACTCACGCGCGCGGGCCCGAGGGCGATGGGAGCACAGGAACCGTGCGAGTGAGCGCCGTCCGTCGGGTAGCCCGAGGACGGAGGGCTGGTGGGGATACGCGAAGCGTCTAGAACTTCCGTTGGGCACCTGCTGGCAAGGCGATTCTCGCTGGCCCTCCCCTGGCACGGCCCTGACGAGCTCACCGCCAAGAGAACAGGAACTGGGAGCTGGCCGAACGCGAAACGGTTAATCTCGAAATCCGTAGAGGCGTCAGTGAGATGGGATGGACAACGTTTCCGAAAACCGAGCAACGATCTAAAACCAGATGCGTGCATCTGGATGGCCTGTCGCAAGGAGCGGATCCAAACAATATCCTGGCGAAAGACCCAATCATATGCTTTTTTCCCCAACCATCCTGTGGTGTTGGGTCCTCGTTTTGAAGAGACGGTGCCCCGCGTCTCTCCTCCTCTCCTCCTCCTCCCCCTCCTCCTCCTCCTCCTCCTCCTCCTCCTCCTCCTCCTCCTCCTCCTCTCATCATCAGCATCATCATCATCGTCATCGTCACCGTCATCATCAGCATCATCATCATCGTTCTTATCACCATCGTCGTCATCATCATCGCCGTCTCCATCATGGCCACACGTTTCGTGGACCCATAGTGAGCTCCACCGAAGGCCCCAGTGGCAAGGTCCGCATGCGGTTCCACCTCCATTTCGGCGCACCCCTCACACGTTCCGTGGCCCCATAGGGAGCTCCACCGAAGGCCCAAGTGTCAGGGTCCGCATGCGGTTCCACCTCCATTTCGGCGCACCCCTCACACGTTTCGTGGCCCCATAGGGAGCTCCACCGAAGGCCCAAGTGTCAGGGTCCGCATGCGGTTCCACCTCCATTTCGGCGCACCCCTCACACGTTTCGTGGCCCCATAGGGAGCTCCACCGAAGGCCCAAGTGTCAGGGTCCGCATGCGGTTCCACCTCCATTTCGGCGCACCCCTCACACGTTTCGTGGCCCCATAGGGAGCTCCACCGAAGGCCCAAGTGTCAGGGTCCGCATGCGGTTCCACCTCCATTTCGGCGCACCCCTCACACGTTTCGTGGCCCCATAGGGAGCTCCACCGAAGGCCCAAGTGTCAGGGTCCGCATGCAGGTCCACCCCTCACACGTTTCGTGGCCCCTCCACCGAAGGCCTGTCAGGGTCCGCATGCGGTTCCACCTCCATTTCGGCGCACCCCTCACACGTTTCGTGGCCCCATAGGGAGCTCCACCGAAGGCCCAAGTGTCAGGGTCCGCATGCGGTTCCACCTCCATTTCGGCGCACCCCTCACACGTTTCGTGGCCCCATAGGGAGCTCCACCGAAGGCCCAAGTGTCAGGGTCCGCATGCGGTTCCACCTCCATTTCGGCGCACCCCTCACACGTTTCGTGGCCCCATAGGGAGCTCCACCGAAGGCCCAAGTGTCAGGGTCCGCATGCGGTTCCACCTCCATTTCGGCGCACCCCTCACACGTTCGTGGCCCCATAGGGAGCTCCACCTGAGGCCCAGTGGCAGGGTCCGCATGCACCTCCATTTCGGCGCACCCCTCACACGTTTCGTGGCCCCATAGGGAGCTCCGCCTAAGGCCTAAGTGGCAGGGTCCGCATGCAGTTCCACTTCCATTTCGGCGCACCCCTCACACGTTTCGTGGCGTCATAGGGAGCCCCGCCTAAGGCCCAAGTGGCACGGTCCGCATGCAGTTCCACCTCCATTTCGGCACACCCCTCACACGTTTCGTGGCCCCATAGAGAGCTCCGCCTAAGGCCCAAGTGGCAGGGTCCGCATGCAGTTCCACCTCCATTTCGGCGCACCCCTCACACGTTTCGCGGCCCCATAGGGAGCTCCACCGAGGGCGCCAATGGCAGGGTCCGCATGCAGTTCCACCTCCATTTCGGCGCACCCCTCACACGTTTCGCGGCCCCACAGGGTGCTCCACCGAAGGCCCCAGTGGCAGGGTCCGCATGCAGTTCCACCTCCATTTGGCGCACCTCTCACACGCTTCGTGGCCCCATCGGGTGTTCCACCAACGACGATACTTACAACGGCGGCATTCGGAATTGCGTATGGTTGGGCCCTTCGCCAGGATAATTTGTAAAAAACACGCAATTGTTGGTATCGTCTTCGGTGGAGCTCCCCGTGGGGCCACGAAGCGTGTGATGAGGTGCGCCAACATGGGTGCGGTTGTGTCATGCGATTGCAGCCACTGGGGCCTGCGGTGGAGCTCCCTATGGCGCCACGAAACGTGTGATGGGGTGTGCCGACATGGGTGCGGCGCTGCCATGCGAGCGCAACCACTAGGGCCTGCGGTGGGGTTCTCTATGGGGCCACGAAGCGTGTGATGGGCTGTGCCGAAATGGGTGCGGCGCTGCCATGCGAGATCAGCCAGTGGGGCCTTCGGTGGAGCTCCCTATGGGGCCACGAGGCGTGTGAGGGGTGTGCCGAAATGGGTGCGGCGCTGCCATGCGAGCACAGACACTGGGGCCCTCGGTGGAGTTCTCTATGTGGGGCCATGAGCCATGTGAGGGGTGCGCCGAAATGGGTGCGGCGCTGCCGCTCGAGCGCAGCCACTGGGGCCTGCGGTGGAGCCCCCTTATGGGGCCACGAAGCGTGTGAGGGCTGTGCCGAAATGGGTGCGGCGCTGCCGTGCGAGCGCAGCCACTGGGGCCCTCGGTGGAGCTCCCTGTGCGGCCACGAAGCGTGTGAGGGGTGCGCCGAAATGGGCGCGGCGCTGCCATGCGAGCGCAGCCACTGGGGCCTTCGGTGGAGCTCTCTATGGGGCCACGAAGCGGGTGAGGGGTGCGCCGAAATGGGTGCGGCGCTGCTGTGCGAGCGCAGCCACTGGGGCCCTCGGTGGAGCTCTCTATGGGGCCACGAAGCGTGTGAGGGGTGTCCGAAATGGGCGCGGCGCTGCCATGCGAACGCAGCCACTGGGGCCCTCGGTGGAGCTCCCTATGGGGCCACGAAGCGTGGGAGGGCTGCAAAAGTGGGGGAGCAGAGGAGGAGGAGGGGGAGGATGGGAGGAGGGAGGGGCAGCGGTAGGAAGGAGTGAGACGCGGGGTGCTGTCTCTTCTAAACGAAGACCCAACACCACAGGATGGTTGGGAATTATCCAGGCGAAGGACCCAACCACAGGCAGGTTTGGGTGTCGCAGGTGTGAGTATCGTCTGCGATGGAGCTCCCTATAGGGCCACGAAGCGTGTGAAAGATGTGCTGAAACGGGGATAGAACCACATGCGAACCCTGCCACTGGGGCCTTCGGTGGAGCTCTCTATGGGGCCACGAAGCGTGTGAGGGATGTGCCGGAATAAAAATATAATCGCATGCGAACCCTGCTCCTGGAGCCTTCGGTGGAGTTCTCTATGAGGCCACGAAACGTGTGAGGGGCGTGCCGAAATGTAG